CAATAAATTTCATAATAACACACATATATTGTATAATATCTATTATGAATATAATATTATATCCTCAAAACTTTTTACCTTTACGTTCTTCCGATAGAACATGAAACATTATAGTGTTAAAATTTAAGATATACTCCTTTATATTATACATGATTTGTTTTTCGAGTACGCCAAAACTTTATAACCAATACGCGATAATATCCATTATGGTTTTAGATACAACCATGTTTTCATTTTATGTTAATATATATTTTAATATAAAACGTCTCAATTCGTGATTTTCAAAACTAAGCGTCTAAATGTTTATAACGTGTGGTTAAAATATTAGAACGAACCATGATAATGTGTACTTCAAATCTTGCTCACTGCAAAATAAATATATACATGTATTTATCATTTAAGTGCTAAAGTCATCAAAATTACCGTCCAGTTAATTCAGTTTGAATTTAATTTAAACAAACGATTTCCTTAAAAAATAACTAAAAGTTGATAAATATAATATAGCCCGTTATAAGTGCGTAGCATAATTTAATCTCGCATTATTATACCGCCATGATTTTAAAGGAATAAATACAGGTTTGAAATAACAGAATTTCGATAAATATATAATATATAAGGATGATAATACTCCTATTTTCGTTTAAATTATTTATACCATAGTTGATACTTGCCTCTACTAAATTGTCGAATACAGAAGAGACAAGGGGCTAGCTCACCTCATCAGAATTCACACAACACATATATTATGATTCCACTTTAAAAAATAAAACAATTTATCTAATAATTTTTTTATACAGATAATTAAATAAATTTAAATAATACAAGTAATAATAATAAAATCTATATTTGTATTTGTGTTCTGAATTATAGCACATTACATACTAGAAGGTTCAATAACCACAATCTCTTCATTTTGTTCTTTAATAATAAATGTATTAAAGTTCTGACTCTTAAAATATTCAACTATAGATTTTGATATATCTAAATTAAGGTTCGATTGATCAATTATTAATATGTTTAAACTATAAACAATGGATGACATTTTTTTTAAGTAGATTTACATTAATACAAGACTTAAGTAATATTATATCTAGTATTTACATATTATAGTCGACATTTTTACAAAATTATAAAATGTAGATGAATTAACATTATTGATGTTTTCAAATCATTTTAGACCTTATATCTTTCAACCCTTATATTATTATATATGTATTATTCTTAGTACACAAAATTAAATAACTCAAAAACTTTGACTAAATTTTGATTTAGATACATCAGCAGTATTATTTTAATAACAATTTTTAGGGAAAAAAAGATTATCTCTAAAATGATAATTTAACAATAAACGTTAGTAATGGATTTGATACTAATATATAAAATTTAAGAATGTACATTATGTATGATGTACATTTAAACAAGTGCCCTCTCCCCCCCCCAGACCTAAGCTCTGGATTTATCTCTGATCTAATTGTCACACTGACGTATCCGTCACTTTTTCGAACATAACATATTTCTGACAGGCAGAAATAAACCATCAAATATTAATATTGATGCTCTTCAAATAATCACGTAGTTGTTGAAGAATATTATTTTTTTTAACAGACATTGAATGTCAATCTACTGATAACGCTAGTTCTGCAAAATATTACGATCGTATATACATCATTCGAATTCCCATTCCAATTATTTAGCCTTCGCGTCCCGTTGTAGAGAGCTAAACAAATATGTATACTTGGATCCCATTTTTTTTCTGAAGTTTAACAATATCTAAAAGCCGGAGAAGCCACGAGTGAACCCTACTTTATTAGATTTCGTGCGCTCCCGAGGGGGCCCTAAATGGGGATTTAATATGCAACTATTTCTTCCATCTCTCTCTCTCTCTCTCTCTCTATATATATATATATATATATATATATATGTATATATATATATTTATGTACACACAAAACTATAGCACATGCCCGCCACCATCAACATCCTGAACTTTACTAGGTCAAAATCAAATTCACGTGACCGTCTGCAACAAAAGTAATATAACAATAACAACGTGTGAAATAGCCAATGTTCATAAACACTTGGGACGCGTTGATTTATACGAATGAACGTACTATATTAAATTATATTGGTATTGTGATGTGTTTTGTATGTTTGATGTATATATATATAAATATATATAATATACGAGTACAAGCACACACGCTATACAAACTTGTTTAATTGATTCCGACGGGAATAGAATTCGCCATTTACAAAAGTTCAAGTCTACAATTGTCAGAACAAAACCATAATATTGTATTTTATGCGATATATAATAATATATTATATATACTCGACAACGCACCGCGTGTTAATCGTACATGTAGGTTCAGTAGCAATTATAGGTGTAGGTATGCCTGGTGAAATAATCGTATAAAAATATGATTTACGTATTAAAGAAAAGAACAATTCTATGCTTGAGTTGTACAGTCTTCACGGTTCATATATGGGTCACAGTAATATATGAATTCATTGTAACGCTACCAAAACGGTTCAGTATAATATAATGAGTAATGATGTACTGTATATATTTATTACATCGAATATTGTGTGTACGTATACGCATAGTGTACCTAATATAAACGCATATTATGCTAATAAAAATTTTAACGGACTTCTATTGGGTGGATTAAACATAACTATGTATTTTTAAAATAAAATCGTTCAAAATTCGGTATTTCACATTCAAATTCTTAAAAAAATAAAATTATTATGCCTACGACCAAATAAAATAAAATAAATTATTTCATCATTCAAAAGAGTAAACAAACTTAAAAAAATCATGAAAATAAAAATAATTAAAAACATAATATGTTTTTTATACAAATATTGTTTTAACTACTTAAAATTAAGTAAAACAAAAAAAATTTAAAAGATGTTAATACTTCCGAAATGATTAAAGTTTGCTGTTAAAAGGATCGCTCTTTAAACATGTTTTGTATAAATATAATATTATTAGTGTTAGATAATAATATATAGACGCGTTAGTGGTATTTATGTAGGTCCATCGTCGTAGTTGCAACTGACCTATTGTTAGCTTATAAACCAGACTAATCTTGAATCTTCCCATTTATATTCGAACGTAAATCCCTTCCATTAATTAAATAGACTTTTGTACTACAATAGAATTGCCACGTGTGTACATATTGTTTTTTTTGAGGATTAATTTCAGAACATAAATGTTCTGTCCCGATTTACTGCGATTTTCAGTCACAGCTGATAGTTTCCACCATCCGATTAGATTTGCACGAATTATATTCCTCTTCACATACCCATAATATTTTGTGCACGTCAATTGCACACAATAGGGCAATACTATCTAAAACGTTTTAACATAATCTGATTCATTATAAGGAATTCATCAAATTAGAAATAGCTAATTATTATCTACCACAGAAAATTCTGTGAAAAATCAAATTAATATCAACCGAATAACAACAACAAAGGAATAGTATATTATTGTAAGAAAATGATCGATCATATTTATTTTTACAATAAAGATTGTGTTCATACTAATAGCAAAATAAATACAGATTTCCAATGACATAATTATGTAAAAATATACCTATGTTTATGTCAATATTTAAAAAAGTAGACCTGAAATGTAAAAACATTTATTTTGTATTGTAATGTAACATGTGAATTTATAATGTTGTTTTCAAATAAATTATAGTTATGAAAAACCCAGATTTTTTTTGTTTTGTTTCTACAATTTTTTAGCATATAGCAAGTAAAGTGCATTTATAATACATTTTAAAAATAAAAAATTGAGGTAAAACTGTATAGTAAAATTTATAAAGAACGGGTTTAAACGTTTAAAATGAAAAAATATTGTATGAAAGACCTTTTTAACAATATAATATATGTAAGTAAATACAAAAAACTATGGTACACCCACAACAATTTTTTTTATTTATTGTATATTAAGTAGAACTCATTTTATAGTCAAAAAATTGTTTTTAATACTTTTACTATATATATATATTATATATATATATAAAGGTATTATAATATAGTAACTTGGTACTTTCATTTTAATCCTTATTCAAAGTATCATTGTATATGATATAATTAATTATTTTCACTGAAACCAATAATGTACATCGATACAAAACTTAACGTGGATTATTTAGATCCCAATTCCCAATAGTATTACATTTATACTCGAGTAAAATAAATAGTAATCTTCTAAGGGACTTGTCCTAATTTCTTGATCAGCTTTAATTAAATGTATTATTTAATACCGCCGTGAAGATTTTCCGGTCAATGATACATTCACAAAATGTAATGGATATTACATTCTTATTTTTGTTTTATTGTACACTAATTAAAATGAATACACTTACTATATTTTATTACATAATACAAAAATAAATTACACGGTTTGAAGTATAATCGAGACATATATTACTTTAACTTTAATTTTAAATAAAAATTAAAAAGCATCTATATGCCAATGTTCGTTTAATTCACGTTGATTACAATAAAATAGTTGCATAAATTACAAGTTATAATTAGATTTATGATATATGAATAGTTTTTAAATTTAATATGGTGCGTTTTGTATATAGAGTCATCAATAATTATTAGCTGTCACGTACCAATCAAAATTTTGAACTTAGTAACTTATATTTTTTACATAAACTATATACATGGTTTTATACAACTTTTTAACATTATAATAATTAAATTATCTTTAAACGCTAATAAATTATTTTAAAAACCAACTAAGACTGTTATTTGTTGAAAATGAATTGTTAATTTAATTTTAAAACCACGTCATCTTAGAAAAATATGAATATAAAATAGGTTTACCTATTACAAATAAAACCATGATCATTTTATTGGATGTAATATACAATACAACACAAATATTGCAGGCATTTTTTTTTCAAATAAAATTTATTTATTACTAATTTATATTTATCCATATATTTTAAATTTTTTAATTATAATACTAGCTAGTGTATCCCCTTTTAATTAGTGAATGAAAATTTTACATGATTTTAATGTTGAATTTCCAAAGATATTATGCTTTTGTCATCTCGTAATCTAAAACAAAAATATAATCATAATTAAATAACTAATAAGCTTGCATACAATATTAAAATTGATGGACGTGCAAAAATGTTAAGAATAATAATCCCATTGCAAAGAGTATTAAATTTTAATTATAATAGTTTCTGTTAAAAAATCATAACTTTGTACTTTTAACAAACAATAAGGAATAAAAAAAGATACACCTTATTATTATAAATAAAATATATTCTAATTAAAACTTTTGAAATGAAGAAAAAAATGGATACAATTGCATAATACCTACGTATTATAGTGCAGGATCACTCGTCTCTTTTCACACAACTCACTGCAATCTATAAATTAGTTATGAAATATTTAAAATCAATGAGCTTGAAAAAATTACAAATAACACTTTTTCCCTAAAAAATTATCGGGATATTATTGTAATCATGCATTTACCGTACGTTTCTGTATATTTTTTATTTCGTTGTTTCTTGGCTACATATTCAAACTACTCAGAAATTCCGAAAACTAACTCTTCAAAGTGAAATATGCGTTTAACTTTTGATACGAGTATAGAGATTATATGATTTGGAAAATTCCTATTGTTCGCTGAACAGTTTTCTGCCAAAAAAAAAAAAAAAAAAACAACATACAATCATTGTAAAATCAATAATACATCTACGCCACTTCCTACGCACTGCGCTTGAAATCAACTATAAATTAATTTTAATTATTAAATCTTTGAGATATGTAACCTAATGGCTTATCGCATATACCAATATATATCATTTATAAATTGTAATGTATTTCTCATAAAATAGAGTTAATTTAAAACAAAATTAAAAACTACGTTATTTATGAAACACTCTATATTGTTTAGTGTGGTTTCAGAAATTACACTAAGTAATCTGTAAATATAGTATATTAAAATAACTTATATCATGGAAAAACCACATACAAAATCGCGTATTATTCAATATATATTATTTAACACTGCTTCGTTCGAATAATAACTAAAAATATTTTATAATGAATAATTATTATTAATAAATCTTAAGTAATACTCAACATCATTATACATTCGTGCCTATTAATATATTATTACTTACTGATTTTACACACATCGTACTCGTAATGTTCGTATACTTTTTGTTAATGTTTCAATGCTACACGCATATTTATTTTTTATAATTAACTATGAGTAGAGGTATAAGGTATTTTGTAAAAAGTACTATAGGTACATCACACATGTGGTTTTATTTTAAACTATTTTGACGTCATACTATACGTGTATACAAATATTTTTATTTTTTTTTTCGTTTATAACAGTGAAAAATTGGACAATGGTGATGCAACATACGAACTTTTTTTTAAGCTAGAATTACTTTTTTACTGTAAACGGTTTAGTTAATTATTTTTTTTTTTTAACTTCAATGTGTCTAAATCAAAATTTTAACGGGTAAAATTTCTGAATTATTTAACTTTCAATATTAATATAATTATCACGATAATAAGTAATAAAAATGTAAGACCGTGTTGATTTAAAAACTAAAATAATTAATATTTACATAGGTATATATATATATATATGTAATATATTTTACGTAGATGTAACCTTTAACCTATATTACGAGTACGTCATGAAGTTTAATAACTCAGAAACTACTCGTTCTAGGATTTCATGCGAAAAATAAAATGTAATATACTCGTTCGAACTTCAATTCTGATGCGTACTTATTTTCAAAATAATCATTTTGTCAACAATAAGTATTTAAAGCAATCACTGGTAGTTGTAATTTAAAAAAAGACGTTCATGTGAAAATAAATGACTAAAAAATTCCAAATGCTGAAATTTAAATAAATACACGATTATAAAAGGGGAGTGCTCATGCTTAGTAAATCATTTTGTTAACATAATTTAAAATATACATTAAATGTCATCTAAAAATAAGAAAATTCAACTTTCAAGAAAAACAAAAGATGACATTACAGTTACATTCGCACATACATGCACATATTTATGTATATATATATATATATATATAATCCTACAGTTCATTACAATTAACCAGAAGCTTTTAACTTGATTCACTGTTTAGACAAGGACGTCCTATTTATGGCGGTAACAAATATTAAAATATCAACTTTAGAGTTTTTCGTTCCCTCATTATGTTGTATAAAATGTTAACACAAAACTAAGTAGTCGACAGTGTTTTGATCATTCAAAAATTAGTAAAATTACATCAAAACCAAAACTATGGAATAAAATATATTTAATTTTAATATTATGATTTCAGAACTTTTTAAGAGATTTGCTGAAAGAAGCGAAAAAAATCAATGACGTGTCAGAAGACAAACTCATCGAATACACTGATACAATGGTATTTATAATATATACCACATACGTATAGCACACTGTTTTTATAATTAAAGTAGTTTTCGAAGCTATAAAACTTATATATTATTGTATTTTATATCTCGCGTGTATTTGTTTTTGAGTTCTGCTTTTATACATTTACTTTTTCCCCGAACCAATGAACGATATATTATCATTGTGTTTATCGACACTATTCACGCCACGCGACTAATACATTAATGTTTTGTACTTTTATTCTCTAGTTGCAAGTATTTGATTCCAACAAGGATGGGAAATTGCAGCTTTCTGAGATGGCCAAGTGAGTGTTTAGTTATGTGTTGTTTATAAAACACGCGCCATAAATAATAAACGCGCTGTGTTGCCGCCCCCGCAGATATCGACGATTTTCTTTGATAATAATACATTGAGTTTGATCGATCCGGCGGTAGTGCGCGCACAGCAGTTATGTTTGTAAAAAATTAATCTTGTACCTTATCCTCGTTAAGGTTGCTGCCTGTCAAGGAGAACTTTTTGTGCCGGCAAGTGTTCAAAGTGAGTACATCAGTGTATAATATTATTACTATACATACATTTTATATAATATTAGACTAGATGATTTGTGTGAACACTCATTATTTAAATACTATTATTAACGTCATTAAAAATATAATTCTCGCAAATATTTCAATATATACTACCACCTACTGTTTTTCATTATTTTAATTTTTTAATTTTTTTTTTTATTCTCAATGACAACATTTATTTTTAATTCCTTATTTCAAAGCAGAATATTTTTCAAAATACTTGACTAGATAAATTGTTTTTATTTTGAATCAGTATAGTTCACAAATTTTAAATATTTAATACTTGGAGCCTTGGAGGAACGAAGTAACACAAAAGTATTTCACAAAATATTAGACAATTAAGTTTAACATAGGCTTATAAGTTATAAGTATAACTACTAAAAACTAATCGTCAAAAATTTTATTTTTATAAGAAAAAAAGCACTCCAAAAGTTATTCTGCATAACATCAGAAAATTTTATTTTTGTAACGACTTAAACTTATTTGTAACAAAAACTATTTCCAAAAACGTTAAAAATATATGAAATAATGTGTTCTTCAACTAGAGAAAATTCTAATATATGTGTGTGTGTGTCTTGTACGATGTACATAATATGTAAGCTGAACGGTACGTTGGGCAAATTACGTGAGTGAATACTAAAATAAAAAAAAAAAAAATTTCAACTACAAAATTAAGTATCGCAATCGCGTGTTAACAATAAATATAGCACTCAGTGCCTGCGCGAACGAGTTTAACGTAGCTATATATACGATTTATGTATCTGAATGTATTTATTTTTATATCCATTAACTTTTATCGGGAAATAAATGACCATGATAACCAAAGTAATAATAGATACTATACCAATACGCATATCATGCGGTTATTATTATATGCGAAAAACTATAAGTACTATACCCTATACATTTAGTTTTGTTGAAATATTATTAAGTTATTTACCAAACGTGCTCATCCTCTTTTTTTTCTTTCAAAATCTGAATTTTTTTAATATACTTACTTAAAACTATAACCAACATTTTTCAGATTTTTATACTACTTAAGAAATATCATTTGTATATATATAAACCTCCATGTATTACTTTAAATTATTTAATAGATATGTTTCTAAAGCTTAATGGCGGGAGAAATGGTACAACCCCGGAGCCCATTTCTAACTAAAAAATACTTTTTTTTTAATGTACACATTCAAAAAAATTTTTCAATTAATAAATTAAAAATATGTACAATGGAATTTTTTTCAATATTTTAATTTCGAACAATTAAAAAACAAAATTGTGTCTTTGTTTTTTTTTAATATTTATAAATATTATTATAAGAATGTAAAAGGGATTTTCTATTACCTTTTTCAAATTTTTGACCCGATAAAACTATTTTTATCTGCACTTAAAAACAACTAACGCCGTAATATTAAGAATAACATTTCATTTCAGTCTTCATATAGGTATGGTACGAGAGGACCATGATTCCTTAGCTTGGATAAATTAAATAAAAATTTAATAATTATATTATGTCTAATATGGTAAATGTATCCCATTATATTATGTCTACGCACCTTTCCATTCGTATATAATGAATATTTATCACGTTTTTAGATCTCCGAAATTAACAGTACCAATATTAAATGATACTTATATAATATATATATATATTATGAGCACCGTTATGAACAGAAAAGTCGAAATTCCGAGTTTTTTCCCCGTTTTTTAGTGTTCTTGCACGCACGGGTATCATAAAACTCCTGACACACGAACGTATATATAATACAACAAAACATTCACTGGGTTTATACAGGTGTTGTGATTGAGAGTGAGGTTTTAGAGTGTTGGATTACTGAATTGGGTTCGGATATGACAGACGGAGACGTGTATACAATACACGGCACTGAGTGTTGGTGTGTTCTCTTAAAAAAAAAAAAAAAATGACATAAAAATATTGATCCGGCGAGAGATATCTTATTATATATAGGCGGTACCTACTTACACTTACAGTATATAAGACGCAACTGCGTTGTTAACGTATAATATTCACGTATTATGTTTTACGCCAGACTTCGGACATAATAAAATTCCATTTCCAAGTTTTCCAAAGCCCACACGTTCGGCAGACAATTCTGTAGCGAACGATAAGTCATCGAAGAATTATTAAAATCTGTTATTAGCACTAGACCATATTATTATCATATTATCTGATTGCACTTGTTCGTGACCTCAGTCAATCAATAAAATTGCAATATTTTATTTTTTTATTCTCTTTTAGTTGAAACTTTACAAGCGTTTATAAACACATTCGTATCAATAAAATCTTAATTTTTTAAAAGTTTTTCGCGGTTCATAGGCATAATATTTTATGATTTTTTTCTCTAATTGTGCATTAAAAAAAAAAAAAACTAAATATGAAAAAAAAAATAATATATTTATAAATTTAAAATTATATAATGCATTGCACAATGTGATTTGAATATTTGATTGAGTGTTGCATTGAACAACGGTATGATTTGTTTTGAATTTTTTACAAATTTAGATTTACTACACATGGATTCTGCATTTATTTGTTGATATACACATACATATTTTAAATTGTATATTATCCACACTTATTTTTAATTTTTCAAACTTTTAATAATTTTTAACTTAATAGTTACTTTCATTAAAAAAAAAAAAAAAAATGATACTAAAACCTTCAACAGACCGTTTAAAGTAAAATATTTCAGCCAAATTGGTTCAGTAGTTTTCTCGGCCAACGTGTTCGTAGAAAACCCCGTACAATTTTACTTAAAAGTATAGATTAGGGTAACTATTTTTATAAAATTAAAAAATTGGACAAACGATTTTTATTAATATGATTATTTTTTATTTTTTCTAATTACATTTAAGTTAAAATGTATCAAAATATTAAATTAATAATTATAGTACGTCGCTCTTTTTAAAACTGTTTTATATATATATTTTTTTTTTAAACATTATTTAATAATATTGTAATAACAGGATTAAAACTATACCATCTTTTAAAAACGGGATAAAAAGCATTTCGTTCAGAGTTTATAGGGACAACGGGACATGATGATCAAAAAAGGGACAATTCCATTTGAAACGGGACGTATCACCCTAGTATAGATAGATAGATTGTATTATACTTAATATATTTATTTGTATACATACTACCTAGTAACCTACATTATAGACGTTTATATATTATTATTATTATTATTTTACTTAACAGTAATAAAACAAATCTAAAATATGTTTTGTTACCTAT